ATATTTTCATAGTCCCTCTTATCTTGTACCTCGTAAAATCTTTCCTTCTGCTCTGCATCTAACTGTGCCATCTTCAAAGGCAACTGTCATATCTATTGCCTATTTTAGTTGAGGTGAAAAAGTCCAGGAGGGATTTAGAGGAGGGGGAGCTGGAAAGTAGGCTCATGCCTAACTGGATCCAGGACTCCTACGTCCCGCTGCAGCCCAGCAGGCAGCTCTTTAAACAGCAGCCCACCGTCACCGTCTGTTGCCAGAGATCAAGGACGATGCTGCTTCTCTCAAAACTGTTCCTGTTGCCTATGATGGGGTCACAGATACATACAGTAATAGCTTCATAGGGTAAGAAAGGTGCTTTCTACAGCTCATGGTCTGTGGGCCCACGACCAAATATGTTTCACACCACTCTATGATGCGTGTTACTCTCTGGAAAGGGGGTTTATACATTTGCTAACATCATCACATCAAAAAATGATACATCAGACCCTGGCCATCTAGCCCCATCCATACTACTGATACACTGTGGGAAGAGTCAGATTCACGTCTAGGTTAGCTCTTCGGATCCTCAGCAGCTTTCCGGTGAGATTCACTAATATTCAGCTGCACAAACTGCGGAATTTCAGAAACCCAGGAAAACAGGAGCAAAAGCAGGAAGTGAAGCTACTGTTGCTAATAGAAATCTACTGAACAGCTGTATCAGGGAAGCTGATGGGCCTACATTAATTGCAAAAAAAAGGTGAAGAAATTGTCTTCTATCTGAGCATCAGTCAGACACACTCTGTGCTTACTGTTTTCTCTCACACATGTATAATTCGAAGTACCTCAAGTCTTAAATTCTACTTTGGCTACCTTGTTCATACACCACTCTACTGAGTCCTGGAAACACTGAATGTACCTCTACCTCGCAAGTTATACTAATTAATAACCGGGAAAAAAAAATCATAAACCAAACCATATTCTAGTTTCTTTGCAAAGAATGAAGATTTGAAGAAACAGGTCTGAAGATGTTTGTAGATGAAGCTGTAGAATATTTGACAGTACAGGAATGAAAAAGTTAAACTTTTAGTTAGGATTCTCAACTCTTAAAACTAGAGTACAGCTGGAATCCCTCTTTTGTGGAGATTAATTATTCTGAGACTAAGTAGGTAGGTAGTGGATACAGGATGTATTTCTCCTAACAGAAAGGTTGAAGTCAAAACATGGTATTTTGGTCAATAGAAGTTTAAGACAAAAAGTGAGCAGGTAAGAATAATCCATAGCATGGGCATTTAGTAAAGTTGTCACTGTTTACAAACAAACAATAGTATTTCAATTTTGCCTGTGTGTATTTACTGTTAAAATTTTCTAATATTTGGATAATCAGCTTGAAAAGCTAACTAATGGCAGCATTTTGTTTCATATTCACACCCAGTCCAAATACTGTAGAGCGTCTCTAAGTAAGTGGATGGGTCTTCAGTGTGTGCTGTACATACAATATTTAGTCTCTGAAACAGACACCACAGAGGAAGAGAATATTAACACTCAATGTATTGTTTTATAAAGATACAAATGAAGCTCAAATTACAGAGAATGCAGATAAGTAGTTCTTCGTATTTCCAATGCATTATCACGTAAGAAAGACAGGACTCAATTTGGTAGTACAAGGTTCTCAAATAAAATCACTTACACTTCTTTATCAAAACCAATATGACAGTAAATAGCTAGTTAGCAGTCACACAAATTACAGCATTTTTATAATCCATGAACAAAAATGGAACTTGCACTAGTTACAGATTTCAATCTAACTGTGTATTAAAAGAGGCGATATTCTGACAATGCAAACTCATTGTATAGTTTTTTGGCTTCCCTACATTTGCACCTACGTACAATGTCCAGGCTCAGCCCACCACCATCGTAACCAGGATATCACCTTCTCCTGGCCGTAAACTCCTGCTCTTTACCATGATCTAGTCTGGTGCATCCTGGACGTGATATAAGCTGATTTAACTACAGAGTGTTTTGCCAGGCTAGAGAGTTAAATCAGCTCAGGAAAGAGTCTGACATATGCCAAAGCTGGTACAGTGAAAGGAGGACCGTCTCGCTATTACAGATGGAGCCGAGGCAGATTAGCTGGCTAATTTAGCTGGTTAAGTCAAATACCTACAGTCGGGTCGTATGAACTCCACTCAGTTTATCTCTACAGCTATTTCTGGCAAGGTAATACTTCTTGCTAGTTACAACTTACAGTTGGAATCACATGGCACGCTTCAGTGAGCTGACTTCCTCACAGACACACGGATGAGCTGATAAAGTTGTATTCAGAGGACCGGAGAGGGGCTTGCTCTACTGTTTCCATGGAAGAAGGCACCGCCTGTATTCTGTTTCTCTTACAACTGTATGCCCCTGAATTTTCAGAGCAAATACAGCACTTAAAAAACTATTTAAATCATTATCCACACAATCATCAAAGTGTATCTCATTGCTTTACAGAACCCTTTAATGTCGCTAAGTTGCTGAAGAACTATTACCTCTTAACAGGTACACCTTTCCTTTGGTATTAAATCCTAAGAGGTGATACTCAGACTTCTTTTGAATGGCAGTAGTAGTAGTGCAACTAAGATCTCAAAAGTTCCCTTAAGTTTTTTAAGTAGAAATTAAGCTGAAATTAATTTCAGTGGAAATTCTACTCAGATTTACTTAAAAGACTGTCAGTGGTATTTGACAATATGTTCATAGTATTAAAATACATAAACTATTTTTAGAAGATTATATTCTAAGAAGATATTTTCTTCAGTTGCCAACCTCCTTGTAAAGAGATCAAACTTTTTCATGAAAGCGTAACTACTCAGCTGCGTCGTTCTTGCCTATCAGTTTTGTCCTGGGCAATCCAGCTGGGCTTTCATGTAAGCAAACAGTATAATCTACATAAAGCAAGCAATGCTGCTAACCACATTACACTTCTTCCTAGTCTGACCTCTAAATCCAAAGCACAAAACACAGGTTTATCAGGTTTCATACCTCCTTCAAAAGCAACATTCTTCTTTGTATAATCGTAAGAGCAAAGTAACCAATAAAATTTGGCTTCCACCAAACCTAATCTAAAATCTCTGTTGGTTTAGCATAGTCAATAACAGAATTGCTTTGCATTCCTACTATTCCAGTTACCAAAGTTCAAAAAGATTGTCACGAAGCATTACATTTTCCCGCTGCCAGCAAAATGACTGCTAAAGCAGAACTGCCATAAAAACCTGTTAATGCAAGAATTCTACATGACGGAGATAAAATTACTCTGTGAATCCTTATGTCCCTCAAATGCCTATTCACAGTCATAGAGCAACATATCTCACTCTGGGAATCATACAGACATAATTAGGAAATAAAATCCTGAAACTGCTTGTAGGTGAGTTTTAGAAAAAGACAAACTTTCTCTCCTTAGACTCCTGAATAACTGAATTGTGTTTTCAATTAAGTAAGACTACTCTTTGGAAAATAATTCTCTGAGCTCACACAGGTCTCCACAAAATCTGACAAATGATTTTTTTACTTGGTGCCCTAACACTGCCCTCTCATACTTATTTTTCACAGTCATTCTCACATTCGTTTTAGGAGAGTAATTTTCTTTCTTATTTCTCTTATAATTTGTGATCGGTGAAGCAACTTCTGAAGAACAGCTATTGACACTGCAAATCATACGGATAAGCTTCATGATTATTTTTAAATAGGTCACGTTTGAATCTTGGCTTCATTAAGAAGAACCCAAAGATAACACTTATTTACTGTAATACAGATGCTCCTTTCCAATTCTATAAACTTCCATTACCAGTAGGACAAAAAGGTACAACACTGAGTTTTGAGGCCAAATAAAAAAAAAAAATCTGGCCCATTGTATAACTAAAGATTATAAGCTTATTTTTGCCAAGACTTTTAGCTACTGATAGACTAACTTCAGTGTTCATAAGGTCATAAACACAGTGAGGGGTTTTTTGTATTGAGCATCAATAGCTTTCAAATAAATTTATCTCCAAGTACAGAGTTCATTAAATCATTGCTTGCTGGGTTTGTTTTGTTTTGTTCTGTTTTCCCAATCTAATGTTGAACATGTGTAAGACAAAACGGGTGACTAACACATGAAAGCCAGAGCAGACTTTTTCAGGAAAGCGAGACAGGGCCATAAGAGACTTCAAGTAACATAACATACAAAATAAGTATATTATATTTAATCACTCATCAGCTTTCATGACTTAAAAAACCTGAAGCTGTTAACAGCGACGCACTGCAGAATTTGCACACAGCATGTTTCATTTTACAAACTGCAATCCCTGAAAGGGACATTGGAAAATAATGGGAACATGCCACCTCCTGAGCATCGGGCCTACCCTTTCCCGTTCCACTAATACCAGTTTCTTTTCACACTGACCCTCCCTGACAGGGGCACCGGAGGAGCAGTTTGCGTGCGTGCTCCCAGGTCTCCTCACACCAGCGGCTCATGGAGGCAGCTGAGGCAGAGCTGGAGCCCCGGCTCCCCGCGGGGGCGGGGGGGGGTGAAGGAAGGGCCTCTAACGGTAAACAACGGCCCCGAGGGTAGGCTAAAGGAGTGCTAACAAGCTCACTGGAGGACGGTCGCACTGATGAGTACTGGAAAGCGGGAAAACACGGAGACCTGATAAGCACACAGCTTGCTTTATCCTCCCTCAACACTGGCAGTCAGTCCCCGTCAGGCAGCCAGTCCCGGTCAGGCCTCAGCCGCGCGGAGGCTCGGCTGAAGCCGGCGAATCTCTCCCGGCCGCGGGGGGCACTGGGGACGGT